GAGACAGAGACAGAGAGAGAGAGAGAGACAGAGAGAGAGACAGACAGACAGACACACAGACAGACAGACACACAGACAGACAGACAGACAGACAGAGATAGTCAGGCAGACAGACAAATAGACGGAACGAGGGAAGGGGAAGGAGAAGAGAAAGAGAGACAGACAGACAGACAGACAAAACCAACAGACAGTCAGACAGACACGCAGATAGACAGGTCGAGAGGGGGTGAAAAAGAAAAAGAAAGAAAGAAAGAAAGAAAGAGACAGACAGACAGAGAGAGGGAGAGAGGGGGAGAGAGAAAAAGAGACAGGGAGAGAGAAAAAGACAGACAGACAGACAGACAGACAGACAGACAGACAGACAGACAGAGAGGGAGAGAGATGACAGAGGGACACTGGAGAACGAGTAGATTTGCTGAAAACTAAACCGATTAATTACGGGGATTTTTTTTTTTCAGATCTATATAGAAACGAAGAAAAATGTATCTGCGTCTATTTGTTTATTAACTTAAGCCAAAAGCAAGTCTTGCAATTTATGGCCGAGGGAGGAAGGGGGGTTGCCTAAAATATGCGATAGAATTCACAGGCCTCCTTTCTTTAAAGGCCTAGTAACCTAGTGAACTAACTACAGACGGTTCTACATTTTCTCATGACATGACAGCACCCCTGAGCATCGCCATGGCAGCGATCACCGCGCGTAAGTGTTTTCGCGCCCCGCGCTGGGCGATACGCCAATCAATGCACTGTTGTTATGGAGCGCCGCCACGAGTGTCACCTCTCTATTACTGTAAACCCTCTCTGGTAAAACATGGCTTTGAACTAAGCTATCGACTTACAAGATAACTACCATGTTAGAAAGAAGGAGACATCAATAGAGAGAGAAAGAAAGTGGGAAGAGAGACAAAGTCAAGATAGTATGATAGAGAATGAATGAAGAGAAAAAAGAGAGAGGCTTTAATTACTACAGGCAATGAGAATAATTCCTTCTTAACCTCTTTTGTTCACAGGTTCCATTAACCCAAGCAGTGAGTATGGAGTCTTTGTTCAGTTGTCTGTTTGTTATATTTTATTTGTGTAGCTTAAGTGGGGAGCAGCACTCTGAAAGTTCCAGCTCAAAACTATGGATTTTAAGTTGTAGGCATTCTTAGCATTTTCATCCTCTCAAAAACTATTTCGTCACGTAAGTACCCCCTAAAGCCTTTTTTCTTCCCATACCAGGTATGTTTGTCATCACCATTTCCTCATAAAGTCAATCTTTTATTTTTCGTTTTCGCTCGTTCTCGAAGTGTGATTTTTTAGTATACTTTTTAAAATAACTCCACCCGTTTTCATCAAATCTTCATGAAATTTTCAGAGAATGAAGAAAAAATGTAATACTAAAACTGTATTTGATGAATTTATGATATATGAAATTGTATTGTGTTGGTGGTGTTTGGAGTGTGGATTTTCACGGATTGTTTGCAAAAATGAAAACTACTTCCGGAAAAAATTCACTAAAGATATTCTAGTACGTTTAGAAAAAATTAATCACACCGATGTGTAGATCTATTGTTTACCAAGACGCATGCAAAAAAACAATTTATTTCCTTAAAAAGTAAGTGAGGTATTAATTACATAAGAAATGTCACAAAAATCCAATATGGCCAACGTATCCATGTGAAAATAATTTTTTTCTCAAATTTGAATGCTGATTTTAAGACTCCTTACTATGCCTGTTGTATGTGTGAAATTTAATAACATTTGATCCCCTAATGAGCGAGATAGCCTTCAGTTGTCTCCCCCTTTTAACTCTTCATCTCCGAAGAGGGTAAACCCACTATGCCTGGGCCCTCTTTTGATATGAAGTCTAAAATAGGAATATACGTCACTAAATTGGTCATGAAATCTAAACAACTGAACTTATTTCATAGTTCTTTATCTAATTAATGAACTTCGAGTAAAAGAGACTTGTTTTCAGCAATTGCCGAAAAGTAATTTGACGTCGAAGTCATTGTTAAGGAATGTGCCCGGGCCTCTGTCAGCAGTTCACCAGCACAGAGGGTATGACCGACCGCAAGCTGTTGTTAGCAGCTTACCAGAGATAAAGGGTTAAACAGAGAGATATGGATTGATTGTGGAAGGCAAAGGAAGAGCTGACGGAGAGATGAAGAGAAAGTAAGAAAGAAAATAATGCCAAGACCTGGAGAATTTTTATCTACTATTCTTTTTTCTTTTTATCTTCACAGGTTCTAGTAGCACAGACAGCCCAAGCAGTGAGTTCGGACTTTTTGTTTGTCAATGTGTGTCTTGTTTTATATGTAGCCAAGTAAAGAGCAAGGAAATAGTTGAAAGAGTCAAAGGAAGAGACAAATGCAGATGGAGAGAGATACAAGAAAAAAACTAAAGTTGAAAGCCAGAGAAATTTTATCTGCCATACTTTCTACACTTTTCTCATTGTCTTCACTTGTATTAGTGGCACAGGCAATCTTAGCTCTAAATGTTAACTTTTTAAAAATTGTTTACAAAAGACGGAGAGAGAGAAAGGAAGAGAAAATAATGCCAAGAGCTCAAGAATTGTACCATGTACATCTATCCTGGCGTTTGGCCTGCTAGCTCCTTTTTGTCTGCTTAATAAATAAGAGAGATAGAGAGGCAGAATTTGTGTCTGTGTAGTCGTGGACTAAAATGCATGCGCTGAGTAGGCCTACGGAATAGCATTAACTGGAGGAAATTGATTGAAATTTATCTGCAAAAACTTTCCCTCTTCCTCTTTGCAGGTATCAGTACCACAGACAGCTGGAGCAGTAAGTTTTATCTTTGTTTGTGTTTGTTTGTGTCACTTGTGCTATTTATTTAAAGATGGAAGTTGCTCCATTATGTGTGAATGTATGCAAGTGTGTATGTATGTATGTATGACATTGTGTAGAATTAAGATTATGTTTTTAGTGAAGACTTCATGAAAACAGTCTTACATAAATAATATAATTTAACTTAGACTTTGGTATTTCAAGTGTCTGAAGTCCAGTATTTTCTGGCAGGAGCTGATCTTGTATTTCATCATGCCAAGAGTGTCTGTAGAATACATGCAATTCTTTTTCTATGTATTTCTCATTGCACAGATAGCCAGCATTGTTGTTAAAACATACTCAACAGTAAGAGATTATTTTACAGCGATAAACTGAATTTTCTGAATAGTGACAGGACCTTTCTACTTTTTGTTGAGCAGGTGGCTGAGAAGTATGGAGTTATGCTTAACGTAGGATGGAAATCCAAGTACTTATGCTAAACATCAGATGCATTGAAATGCTAGTCCTGAGGGGGGGGGGGGGAGAGAGAGAAAGAGAGAGAGAGAGAGAGAGAGAGAACTCGTGAGAACAAGCATTTTATTTAGACAAATAGAGAGATGCCGTTGTCACTGAGAGAGACACAATGAGAAAGACAAAATGGCATTTGCCGAGAAAGAGTGCCTTCCTACATCCTGAGGGAGTTTAACTACTCGCAAATAGTATTACCGTATCGTATTATGTACAAAATTTCTTCCGTTCTCTCTTTTCAGGTTCCAGTCCCACAGACAAAACTGGAGTAGTAAGTATTTACCTTTTGTGTGTGTGTGTGTCAGAGGGGGGGGGGGGGGGGCTAATGTGGATGTTTTTACTTACCCCTTGACGCAATTTAGATCATATAGGAGGAAGGCTTTAACCATGCTTTTCAGAGCCAGCCAGGGTTGAGAGGGATACAAGGTACCGGCAGATAGATTGAGGTACTTGGTAAAACTTCTCCCCACATAATCTCTTCGTTTGCCTGTGTATCTTTTTTTGTAGTGAGGCAGAGAGATGTTGATTAATTGAGGGATACAAAGGGAAAAAAAACATGTGCAGATGGAGAGAGAGATGAAGAGATACAAATGCCCGGAGCCAAAGAAATTATTTCAGCCCTACTTTTCTTTTTGCCTGTGTCTCTGCGTGTTTGTCTGTGTGAATGGGTGGGTGTGTGCATTGGCTTTAGAGAAAGGAAGAGACAGTTATCGAGACAGACACAAAATGACAGACTGAGACAGACAGAATGGAAGAGAGATACTTCACTTCAAACTGTAAAAATGACAAGAAGTAATTTTGTAAAACTGAAATTCATCTTTGTATTCACAGGTTCAAGTAGTACAACCAGCCCTGGCAGTGAGTATGGACTCTTTGTATAGTTTTCAGTGTCATGTTTTACTTGTGTACCACAGGGGTAGGCAACCTCTGGCCATTAGGCTAGTTATGGCCTGCCGATGGTTTTAGTCTGACCTCATGCCCCTCTTATTTATTTTTCATAATATCCGACCTAGTGGTCTTTATCACAACTATCGTATAGATTATTTCATCCAATGCAAAAAGACACTCTTTATTGTTTTTATAAGCACTGATATTTTCAAATGATTTAAAGACCGTTCGTTGACACCCCATTTTGTGCGGCCGAGCGGGCCTTATCTGAGCCTTGATGTAAGCCTAGTTGCACAAAAAGGTTGGCAACCCCTGGAGCAGCAGAGGCAAAGAGATGGGGATTGATTGAAAGAGACGAAGGAAGAGTGTCGCAAATTAAGAGAATTTGGGAGAGAAAATAATGTGCAGAACCTGAGAATTGTTATATACCATACTTTTTTCTCCTTATCTTCACAGATGCTGTAAGCACAGGAAGCCCAAGCAGTGAGTTTGAACTCATCATTAGTTAGTGTGTCTTGTCCTGTTTTGAGTGTTGTTGAGTAAAGAGATACGGATTGATTGAGGAAGCCAAAAGAAGAAACAGACAAAGATAGATAGAAAGAAAGAGTGTATACCTAATGTATGTGTGTTTGTGTGTGTGTGTGTGTGTGTGTGTGTGTGTGTGTGTGTGTGTGTGTGTGTGTGTGTGCACGTGTGTGTGTGTGTCTTGCCCTGTTTTGTGTGTAGCCAAGCAGAGATACGGATTGATTGAGGGAGCCAAAAGAAAAGAAAGACACAGGTAGATAGAAAAAAAGAGTGTATGCCTAATGTGTGTATATGTGTGTGTGTGTGTGTGTGTGTGTGTGTGTGGGTGTGTGGGTGGGTATGTGTGTGCATGTGATTGTTTAGTTGTTTAGTTGTATGGGGCTGTGATACTCTTATATCCTCTCCAATGACTTGCAGAAAAAGTCTATTTCTTGTAGCTTTTGATTTGTTGACTCTGCTGGATGCTGATGACTCTTTTCACTTGACTTTTTTTAGACTTAATTTTTTAAATCTCTCTTTTATTCTTATAAGCCTTAATGACATTCTCAGTTTTTCCCTGTCATTCTATATACTTAAAATGACTTGCTCATTTCTCATTTTGTACAGATTCAGATTGTAGGAATTCATATTAGTGTGTGCTGTTAGTTCACGATCTTTTCCCACCTCCTCTCTCCTACATTTGACCAGCTAAGGGAATTTCTTTGTCCTATTAAGACTTGTTGAAATATTTAGAATATGACTTGCTGCTCTCTCCAAATATGGGAAAGAGAATTGATATACTGCTCACCAGAAAGAGGTTCGGCCTCTCAGGGTGTTGCAGCATTAAGCTCACCCATTGCTCACACACTGAATGTGTGACCCCTTGAAAATTAGAATGACACTCTTGAAAGTATGTATGAAAATATACATGCATGATATATATTTTGTTACATTGCCTTGCATTTTTTCCTTTCCCTTTTTTACTCTAATCACTAGGAGAAATACTTTATCTTTGGAATTCCTATCTATATTTAGAATGGTGTTTTATTGATCACTTTGCAGTGTGTACTAAATTTACTTGTGAATGAGCAGACAATGTTTGTCGGTCCAGTGTGTACATCACTCCTGTTTACTACATATAATTCCTTTCATGTTCTTTTGATAAAAACTTTCAGGTGGTCAGTGGACTTGACCAGGGCATGATTGCTGTAGTTTTGTGTGCTCTGCTTGTCCTACTCCAATACACCATCTCTATGTTCACGAATATGAACTCAACAGTTGACCTGAACATTGTGCACGCTGCGATAACACACTGGTACACACTTCAGGGCTGAAACCGTTATTCCTTTGGACATTTTGAAAGAGTAGCATCAATAATATACCATGATGAACTAAACAATGTCTCAAGGAAAAAGTCCTAGAAGTTTTAGGATGATCTTTTTATCCTGAAACATACAGATTTAAGACATAGGACAGTAGTATTTTTGTTGTGATTGTGAGAAGACTCCCACCTCTCATCAGAAACGTATGTTTATTAACACGATACTCACTTTGTATGTGAAATGCTTTCACACATGGGTGTACTCAAAAGAAGCAGAACTTTTTCTTTGATGGTGAAAAAAATTGTTTACTCATTGGAAAAAGCGGACAAGTCACTATCACTTCTCTCTTTTCATGCTCACCTTTACGTGTCCACACTTGTCATGGATTGAATATTCTACGCCAGCTGCACAGAGAGGTCAGTGGTGACATAATTCTTTGCATTGTGATAGTTTTCCTGATTTGTAGTATGTAATGCATTTTGTGGTGTCATGAAACGTTGCCTCTATTGTAATGTCGCAGAAATTTGTGCCATTATTTTTCTGCTTCCTAAATTTAACTCATTGGGTCCTATTAAGATGTTAAATACTTTTGATGCCCTAATACTTTCTACATTTGTGAGAGCAAAAATTGTTTTTATTCATTTATGTTATTATAGAACTTTGATTCCTCCATATGTTATTTTTTTGTTTGGTGATTTTTTTAAACGTTGTCTAATATGTTAGTTCTTGTCTACATACCCATGAAGGCATACATTATGATGTAATAACTGTCAACTTTATAAAGATGATTGTTTTAAATCTTAACTTCATATATGGTATTCATAGTTCTTTACCTCATTTTTATTTAGTAAACTTTTCTGAATTGGATTTCATAACTCTTTATTAATGATTTAAGGATTTAATAGTGCATTATTTCAAGTTAAGTGTCCTTGTTAACCACTGTTATGATTTGTTTGTTCTGGAGTATAAGCTTGACAGAACGTCGACTTTCGAACTAAGTTCAGATAAATTAATGTTTATTCACAAGTACCTCATATACACATGTGCACATTAATAATAAAACAACTCTAACCTAGACTGTTGTGCACATTGGCGTCATGCAACTAAGCTGCTACATTACCCCTCTCCCAGTGTGGTACAAATATGTACATAGCAAATTGCCAGGAATTGATTTAATAATTGATATGACAATTGTTCTGATGTTCGTGATATGCGACCAGAGTGGGTCGTAATGTTTGGATTCATCACGGGTAGAGATGATGGTACAGTCTTTGATTTTGATGTATCAGAACAGAAGGTTGTGGGCTCAGATCACATCAGGGTCACCAATGTAGAGACCTGACAGAACTTCGAGTTGCGAACTAAGGACAGACAAATTAACATTTATTCACAAGCGCCTTATATACCCATGTGCTCATTAATAATGAAACAAATTTATTTTATCTGGACTATTTTGCATGCTGGTGTCGCGCAACTAAGTCGCTACAATGACATAATTTGTTTCATATGACAGTTTCTGCCTCTCTACTAAGAAGTGAACTTGCTATCTTTCAGATCTCTACCCATATGGCTTGGCTGTTGGAGACCGACAGGTGACAGCTAAAGGCTTGTTTGAGTGGGACTACTGGAAGGCGATCAGTGATGCCGTTAAGATTCAAGGCGGATTCCCATTTGGCAGAGAAAAGTTCACTTATGTGCATGTAGGTCATCAGCTTTGTGTATGCACACTGTGTGTCAGAAAGGTGTGAGAGCGGAGGTTGACAAGGATGAGTGTTCCATGGTTGCAGTTAGTGAGAATTTTCATGATCTTACATGAAATGAATGTAAGAGGAGATTCTTTTCTTGGGATAGCTGTTATTGTTTGTGTTTTGAACTTTGAAAATACAAATTCTTCTGATTATTAGCACCATCCTCATCATCTTTGTTTCTGTTGCTTTGAGTTGGTACTTTTCAAAAATTGTTCCTGGATGTTGCTATAATAATGTTATTGTAATAATTTATACTGTTGTTTTTTGTTATTATCTCTATTGTTGATATTATTATCAGCATAATCATAGTCATCATTGTATGTATTTTTATTTTAGAGGTTGAGATATTCTTCATGGGGACAAGCCAGAATCATCGTCCTCTTCATTATCAATATTGTCAGAATAGATGCTGCCATAAATCAATACCACCTTTGTAAACCGGAGCTTTACACTTTCCACTCTTGCAGCACACAGAGCACACAATACATGGTCCCTCAGACCAGGATGCAGATGCGGTAATCAGAACTATACCAGTATCTCGGCAAAAATACCCCAACCGTTGTTATAAATTTCAGTGTACAGAGAAAGTTAAAAGTGATGATCCCATGTTCACCAAAAAAGGAATTAAAATCGGAGCTGAAAATTTTGGATCTAGGTCATTCATCACCCGAATTCTCATCGTGGCGTAAGAGTAAATCAGCACTCATGCTGGGTCTACTTTTTCCCCAAAAATTTTCTCCAAGTTGTATACAAACTGATTTTTGACCTCAAAGGCCGCGCAAACCATCCAGAAAGGAAATCTAACTTTAAAAAGTGCGCATGTGAAAAATGAGATCATTGCAATGTTTTTGTTGCTATATCACACTGTCGCCGATTGGTGTCCTGTTGGGGGGAAAGCAATGGCTTCTAACCGTCGCCGATCGGCATCCCATGGGGGCAAAGTGTTAATACTTTCCACCCACCCAGCATACAAAGTGCAGAACCTTTCCCCATGCACCAGGATGCGGATGGGGTACATCACAACTATACCTGTATCTCTGCAAAAATACCCCAATTATTTTTAAATTTTCAGCACAATGAGAAAACTAAACAAGCAGATCGCATCTCAAAAAACACAATTAGAATTAGAGCTAAAACAGTTTGATCTAGCACATTCATCACCTGATTCCTCATCAAGACGTCTGTGTAAAGTAGCACTCATGCTAGGTCTACTCGACAGTTAACAAATATAAGTTCACTCTAATTGTAAACCAACTGCTATTTGCGCTCAAAGGCCACACAAACCATTCAGAAATGAAATTATAGCTTTGATAAGTGCACATGTCTAAAAGAAAATCATTTCTTCAACATTTTTGTTGCTGTGTCATATTGTCACCGATCCGTGTCCCTTGAGGTAAAATGATGGCTTCTTACTGTTGCCAGTCAGTGTCCCTAGTGGGCAAAGAGTTAAAACTTGTGTAAAGTTACCTGGCGGTCCGATGAGTCGGGTCTGTCAGGGGGCTCCCGTCCAAGATAGATGCTTCCTTGTCCCTGTCCTGTCTGTGACTGAATCTCTCAGTGAGTCTCTCACCCTAATTATCTTGTCCCCACAGTATAGATAAGAGTCATGTCCTTTGACATCACAAACTTGTATGTTGTGATCGCTGTTGTTCGGGCCTGCAGGTGTTGCCTCATGGAGTGATCACAGTTGGCCGGGAAAAGTGGGCATGGTGGCCTGACCTGGAGTGGGCTCCCACCTGGGGCCTGTATGTCATTGCACCTTTTTGGAGCTACATGGACCCACGACGAGGCAAGGTCTTCTACCAGCTGCACGAGCGCCGTACTGCAACTTTCTCTGGTAGAACTGGGAGCATTGCTGTTCTCACTAGGGCATCCATGGAGGTGAGGCATAGTGTCGTGTGTATGTGTGTGTGTGTGTGTGTGTGAGGCGGGGGGGGGGGGGGGGGCGGTTGATCTGTTTCTGGTCTTATCTCCTTTTTTTCTCTCTTTGTCTCTATAAATTGTTGTTTTATTCACTTATTTGATTTTTTAGGTAGCTTTTTAAAATTATTTATTTGATCTGCCTATTTTGTTTTTTCTTTTGCTTCTTAGTTTATTCAGCTGTTTCTTTGGGGACTTTTTGATCTATTTTTAAGATCTATAATTTTGGTGATTTTCTAATTTTTGGTTTGTTGTTGGGATCAGTATCAGCCTTGATGATTCTTAAGATGCCTGGTGGATGCTGTTGTTTTGTTTATTTTTGTTAAGCACCATTCCTGATGTTATTCTTGTCCTTATCTGCTTCATGGGTGTGAGAGGAATTTCTAGTAGTGTTGATGGTAGGCTACTGTTCAGTGGGACTCAGTTGTAATGACAGGTATGAATCTGACACAACTTTCTGGCTTAAGTCCTTAGTGTCCTACTTGACGTTTTAGTAAAAAAAAAATTTTTTAAAAAGAAAAAAGAAAAAGAAGTATCAGCAACAGATTTAATTCAAGAGAACATCTGAGCTGAGAAATGAGAAGCTAGTCATGATCCCCATTCTCTGTTTGAGGCCTGGGACTTAATAAAAAAGAAAAAGAAGATAGTAAGAATAACAATTAAAATATGAATAAACATTACCTTTTTATCTACATTTCCCTGTTCTATCTCAGGGGTAGTTAACTGCGTGTTCTTCATCCTGCTGTATAACTGAATTTTATATATGTGCCTCCAAGTTTAGGACAACCTCATACCAATTTTGAAAATGCGCTGTGTGACAGTGACTACAGTTTTGTCAGTTTTGGTAGAAATTAATTTTGAATTTTGTTTGGGCATTTTCCAAGCTTACTCTCAATTTTAGGACCACCAAGGGATCTTAAATGTGCACAACTTACACACTGGTTCTCCAGGAGTTTTTGCTTGTATCTGAAAAGTCTAGGTGTTTGATCTTACCTACCCTAAGATCAGATGTGTGGCTGAAAGACAGCAGTGTGAGGGAGCCTGGAGTAGTTGTAGAAAGAGTCTGGATCAAGCAAGGGACAAAAAAGCAGAGAAGAGCAGAGCAGGAGTCGGGGTGGGGGAGGGGGTCAGAGAGTCAAGAACAAAGCGGATGACAGAACAGGACTAGAGAGCAGGAAAAGCCAAAGGGAAAAATTTTAGAGAAGAAAATTTTATTCAGTACTTGCAGTTTTCGATCAAGAGATCTTTTGACTGAACTGAGATGTGAACATTGTAACTCATGGAGCCCCTTTAATAAGTCAAATTATTATTATCTCCCCTCCTTATTTTTTTATGTTTGTTACTCTCTTGTAACACCTCTAATCTTCTGGCGCTCATATAACCTTATTCAGTTGCGAGCGTTGTAAAACCTCTACTTAAACAAAAAAAATTAGTATTAATAGTATTATTATTGCTTATCATGCCAGGTACAAGAGTTCTTACAAAGTTCAGGCACATTCGCAAACAGCAAGCCATTCAAGGCAACCTCAGTACTGGTGGCCACTTGGGAGGAGGTGGAGCCCTACAACTGGATGAGCTGGTACTGTGATGACCAATATTCCTATATGTCCTCATGGTATGACTGCTCTGATCAGGTGAGATAAGACAAGGAAGGTTTGAAGAAAAGAAAAGAAAACAAAAGTAGAAAGGGGTAAAAAAAAGATGTATTAACACATTTCTTGCTATGTGGAAGCGGGGGGTGGGGGGGGGGGGGGGTGGAAGAGGGAGTGAGAGAAGGGAAAGGAAGGAGATAATTTATAATCTAACACTTAAGTCATGCGATCTTGGTGCTTTTTTTAGTGTAGGTCCGTCGTTTTTTTTCTTTATCATCACCAGGTAATGCACTCTCTTTTTAACGGGAGGAGCTACCCTTGAGGACCATTTTCTATGTTTGTTGCCCGACATCAAATCCAAGTACACATATAAGTTAGACATAGTAAAATCTCTTGAAATGCAATTTTATTTTGGCATACCTAGAGCGGTTGCTATGGAAACGGCCGCCATCTTGAAAATAAACAATGAATTTCAAATCCCTAAGGCTTTCTTATTTACAGACCAAATTTGACCAAATGTGGTGAGAGTATACCTGAACCAGACCCTATCAGAGTAACAGCAAGTTTTTTCAAATAAGTGCAAAAGAAAAATAAATATGAGAATTTTCCCAAAGTATAAAAATCTTTTTAAAAATTTAGGTTGCGTAATTGCTTGCTAATGGAAAAGTATCATTTTTTTTCGCAAATATCTCTCTGTTACATTGATGGCAGCCTTGCCAACTATGTTTCCTGAATGTTTCATGTCAAAAGGATAAAAACTAAGGTAGGAGTTGGGAAAAAACTGCACAAAAAATACATTTTGCAAAAACCGACAATAATTGTGAAAATTCACTATACTAATCCATCCTCATGTTTTTAAAGGCAATTTACCTGGAGAATAAAGTATTTCTCAATTGTATCCATGATATTTTTAGACAAAAAACAGGTTTATCTTAAAAAATCAGCCAATATAAAATGTGCATAGCCTGACCCAAAATCTGCAAAATCAAGGGTCGCTCCTCCCCTTAAGTGGTCCTTACATTAGAGTATGGCACACCATTGAATACAGAAAATATGCAAAGAAATAGATGTAACTAACCTTACTGGCTACCAAAATATAAGGGATTGAAATGTTACCCTACACCAAAGACAGCACAGATACTAAAGAGATCCATCTCAAAAGTCCAGCATTCCCCACAGCTGATCAGCCAACAAGTGATGAATGGCTCTTGTTCTGGCTAGACTGAAACACTGCTTAAATTAGTTCACTTTCTCATATCCTCAGTTTCTTGCAATGTTCTGCAAAAACGGACCGTTACATGGCCATGCTTTTTTTAATGCAGTCCTATATTTTGACTGACCTTAACTTATAACCCCAAGTGGACCATACAAGCGTTCAGGGAAACTCGTCCGGTCCCCAAGTGGACAGTTCCAGCGTCCGGTCAGATTGCCGGGAGCATGAAGCATTACTGCTAATACAATCTTTTACTAATTTGAATAGTGTTAGATAAATGTATAAACTACTTCCTCTTTCATTTTGACACAGTTTTAGCCATTTTATTAATATTTTGCGTATATACTCATTACATGTTTCATAAGATCAAGAAAAAAAATCTGTCGAAATATAGAAAATAATTCCAGGGTTAAAAAGTTAAAATGTTCTTGTCTCTTAATCTGCATTGTGTAATCAGTAACGGTTTAGATTTTAGCCATGGCAAAAAAAAATTCTTGATAGTCAATAGCCTTTCAGACCCATGTGCAAATTCCCAGTGAAATAAGTGAAGAGATAACTGAGATATAGGCTAGTGGTGCAAATGTGGTCGTAAGAAAATGAACAGACTGTTGAAGTGTGTTTGCACAGTTATGGATGGGAAAAGAAAAATAGGAAACTAAAGTAAAGAGAGGATACAAAAATTCAATATTATATAAATGGGATAAAGAAGTTACTGTAGAATAATGGGACTGCTTTCATTCACTCTAACTTCAGATTATTTTTTTTTCTCCAGGGTAAAGAGACAAACACGTTCCAAACATTGCTGATCACGGACGGGCAAAGATCCTTTGTTCTGACCACCTACAAGCTCGGGTCGATGACATGGAGCTTTGAAGAATACAGATACATTGAAGTGGGCTATGCCTCCCCAACGCCAGAGTTCCGGAAAAACAACCATTATTACAACACAGAAATCACAACCATGCTGGACTCAGAAACTGGGAATACAGGTGTTTCTTCTATTCTCGAGCTGCCTCCCACTTGGTCGTTCTTGGAGAAAAGAGGGGGGGGGGGGGAACTTTGTTCCCAGAAATCATATAACTTAAGATAATTTACTCTGTGTTTCCTTAATTTATACTGCTTGGAGAGTTCACATTTGTTTAACCTTATGGACCTGAGCTCTACTTCTGTGCCTGGAATTTACACCTCAGCATGCAGTGGGAATGAATGGTGGAGTGTGCCACTGGCATTGGCGGGTACTACTTCTTTTCTTTCCTATGTCTTTCTGCACTGTAATAACATGAGAGGGCAAGGATCATTCCTGCTCTCAGTGTATCTCAACACTTTTATCCCTTAAGCTGAAAAGTATTTGCTTGCCTGTCTGTTTTGTCTGTATGATATCCGTCTATAGTTTGGCTGTGAATTGGAAATGTACATGTCTGTCAATCCTAGTGTCTGTTTGACAGTCAATAAGGGACTGAGATCAAAGGTGAACAAGTTAATGACTGTATTGAGAGCAGAGCATCCAGCTCCTTTATGAAACTCCTTGCTGAGAACTGTCTTCCACTTGAGGGTGAGGAAAGGACAAAATACAACTGTTCCTAGTATGAGGAGCCTTTGTTGGTAAATCAAAACTGGCTTGGTTGCTTGACTGATACAGATTTATAGAATTGCTGAGTGTGTAGGCTTACATCATTTCAAGAAATATTACAAAAGAGTATCGTACATTTTGATGTGTGTGTGAAAGGGGCAAAGACATCTTTTTTACTAAAGAGAAGTCGATCTTTAAGATTGCTTGACAGGTCCACTGTTTGCTATGTCTCTTTGCTAGTTGTTAGCTCAGTGTTGCTCTTGGGGATATGTCGTGCAGTTTGCTGATCACAGACAGGCAAAATCCTTTGTTCTGACCACCTACAAGCTGGGGTCAATTACATGGAGCTTGCTTTATTTAGCTCTTCAAGAGAATAATAATAATAATATATATAATAATAATAACTCAGTGGAATCCTGTTATAATGAGAGGGAGGGGACCGGTGCGAAATGTCCGTTATAGCAGGATTCTCGTTGAAAGAGATCCAGTAATAAATTCAAGGGAAATAGTAAAGTAGGCCTAATCTATGAGTTTGGTGTTTTGTTTATTCCTCTTTGTATTTCCCCTGATGATGATTTTGTTCAACATGATTTCTAGGTTTTACTTGATCAAAAATCGAATCAAGTTTCTTTCTCTAGCACTAGCAATGTTGACAGCTCAGGGTTGGAGATCAAAAAGAAGGCGCTCCGGCTCTAGGCTAACTCGCCCACTGTGTTGTCCCCCATCCCACAACACCCTGTGGTGCGTTGCATCTGCTTGCACATGTCACACATTCACTCCATCTATCAAAGCATTGTGACTTCTCCATCCCGCACCACAGAAGTGAGAGGCATGGTAGGCCTAGTCTAGACTGGGCTGGCCTATCACGCGATGTGTTCTGCTTGTCTGCTCATGCTACGCCCTTCCCACTCATTCGCTCCAGCCTTCATTGTTGGTTCGCGTGGGCTCTCCCATTCTTTGTTTCCCTGGATCACCAACAACTTTCTCAACTGGAGAGGTTTTTTAGGTTTAATTGGTCTGTGCACGGTGCACAGCAGCAGCAATATTCCGTAATAACCGACTCGTGTGACTGTCTGATTGCGCAATAGCAGTATTTTATTTACAAAGATAAAGAAGGGAAATAAACGGGGTTTTAGAATAGTGTCTTCATAACAGACTTCTCGTTATTTCAGGACTCGTTATAAGTGGACTCCACTGTAATAGTAATAATAATAATAATGATAAAAAATAGCCTTTGTATGGCACATACCCCCACTCTATATCATGTGCTTTACACTATATTATTACCCCAGAAGACCCCATAACACTCAGAAACATTTTCAGCTTCCCAGGAAGCATTCAGTGCAAGCAGCAAGTTAACTCTTTTCCTGCCAGGCCAAAATCCACCACTGGCCCGCAGCTTTTACCTGATATATTTTTACGCCCCTACCCCACCAAAGGAAAATGTCAAAACATCCAAGAAACACATACAAACCATACTATATGGCCCTTCAAACTGAAGGTAAAAAGATAATCTATCAGATGGTGGTACAATATTAAAGATTTATTCCAATTGTATTAGTTTGGGGTTTCTAAAAGTGATTATGCAATATCGAAAGTGTCATTTGAAATCAACAATTTTTCTGCTTTGAAATGTCATAACTAAAAAAGTACAATAAAGCATCTTTCAAATTTCCCAAGTAGGTTGCCTCATGTAATGCAAAGAAATGCAGAAAGTTGTATATGTGCACCTATTATAGAAGTGAAAATATGAGACCTTTACTGAAGTCAAGGGAACACTTTTCTTTTTCATTTTTATGTTTTGAAGGGACAGAAAAAAGGGCTGAAATAACTCAAAATCATCTGTCAGTGCTATATTTTCTTTTGCATCCGCTAACAGGAAGTCTATTCTATTATTTCGAAAACGTGGATTGGCTGAGAATTTTGGTGGGTCTTTTCATTGCTGGGTTGGAATAGATTGCGAGGGATAAGCAATCAAACACTAACAAACTGACAACGTCTTTCGCTGTCTATAGCTGGATACCCATTCTCACCGGGGTGAAGGGAGGAAAATTCGTGTAAAGTGCTTTTCCCCAGGACACAACGTCAGGTCTCTGACGGGATTCGAACGGGATTTGAACCCAAGGCCTTACAGTTGCAAGTCCGAGAGCATAACCACAAGGCCACCGTCACCAAGGAATACTGTATAAACGTATCTACAACAATATGAGATGTCGCAATCACAATTATGTAATAACACACAATAAGGACAAAGCTCGGATACACATGTGTGGTAGTTTCTTCAATGTGTTATCTTTCCCTTCTTCTTTTCTTTTTCTTCTTTACAAAAACCTCTGGTCCCACAGCTCCCATTTAAATTGATCATCTGATGTCTAGTATGGATTTGTACTCAAACAACAAAATAAGCCACCTTGCTAAACCCTTTGGGACAGTCTGAGGGAATCTAGTGTAGGCATCAAATGAAGAAATTAAATGACATCAAGATTACTCCTGCACTTCATTCTCAACAATTTGGTCGATCATCGTCATCATCATCATAATCATCATCATCATCATCATCATCATCATCGTCATTGTTGACAGCTCGAAGAAAATAAGTTAAAAAATTGGTGGAGACTGTAAAATTTCAAAATTTATAAGAGGTTCAACGTTTTGCTGCTGAGGGCTTCATCAGGAACATGGAAAAAAAATCTTCAACATCAGTTTCCAATGTTTTTCTGTTCTTTCTTTTTTTTTAATTTCTAGAAGCGTAACATTTAATGTCAGGTTGAGACATATTCTTTTTTATTACTAATAACTGAAAATAATATCCGGCACCATATAGAGACATGAGAGAAAAATAATAAAACAAGCTAAATTCTTAAATTTCCCTGTCCAGGTCGCATGGGAACTGATCTTGACCTGGTGGGGATAATGGAGAACCCAGACGCGAAGTGTGAAGAGTGGTACCTGGAGAACAGCTACTTGGTCAACAACGACACTTTTGATCAAATGGTTGAGGGTAGGTACTTTATACTTCAAAATTACAAAGTTCTATCTGACATTTTTGGTTGTTTTGAGTTACTAAGACCTCGAGGTCAGAAACCAAATATTCTTTCTGCTCTGTCAAAATAGTAAGATTATTCAGATTCATTATCAAAATATTCAAAGAATTGCATTAGAAGAAGCTTGACATATTGGGAAACTCCAAATGTTTTACATCAAATTTCTCAAAACAAGGTACTGAGCAGATAGAGGTTTGTAATTCTAAGGTAACGTACTGTCAGGACAGTGCAGTGAAAGAGAGAGAGAGGCATCTCCCCTCCTCACCTTGTGAGTGTCATCTGACCCTCATGTTAGAGAGCCATCTAACACACATGTTTTGGTTTACGTACCACCATGTAAAATTTGTCTGATTCCCGTATTAGAAATCTATGGGATCCCCAAGTGTTAGTCATCTTCCCCCCCCTGTGCATGTCATCTGGCATGTATGTTTTTGTTCACTTACCCTCTTATTTAGTTCACTTAACCCCTTGTGTATGTGACCTGACCTGCATATGCTAGTCCACATACTCTCGTGTGTACGTCATCTAACCTCTATGTCCATTAATCCTCATGTGCATATCACCTGACCCTTCATCTCTATCATTACCAGGTCTCTTTGACTGTCCTTGCACCATGGAGCGACTGGGGCGTCAGTGGTGGACGTACAAGTGGGAGGATGTTATAGGTGAGACCCGCACCTACCTGGTCTGTGCTGCTTTGAGCCCCGTGGCCAAGCAGAGGCTGGAACGTCTAGAGGGCAACACACTCAACAGGGTAAGGATGACTGTCTGGGCCATGAGAACCAGGGCGAGGGCTCCCCCCCCCCCCCCTGCTCTTTCTTTCTCTCTCTCTCTCTCTCTCTCTCTCTCTCTCTCTCTCTCTCTCTCTCTCTCTCTCTCTCTCTCTCTCTCTCTCTCTGTCTCTCTCTTTCTCTCTCATTCTCTCTCTCTTTCTCTCTTTTTCTCTCTCTCTCTTTCTCTCTCTTTCTCTCTCTTTCTCTCTCTCTCTCTCTCTCTCTCTCTCTCTCTCTCTCTCTCTTTTCTCTCTCTCTCTCTGTCTCTCTCTTTCTCTCTCTCTCTTTCTCCAGCAGGCCCTTGAAATGCTATTTGAGCAAACCTTAAAAAGGATAATGGAAGACAACATTGAGTCAGTAGGCCTAATGAAAGAAATCTGCCTAATGTTTAGTTTATAGTTTGTCAGTATCAGGAACTATAAATGAGTCATTGGTTTCTCATATGGTTTCTCATAATGAAAGATTGTTTTCCAATGAATCCTGATGAATGTTTCTGTTTTGCTGAATGGTCTGATGGGAGACCAAGTACTTGTCTTAAAAGATTTTACATTGTGGCATGAACGTATCAATTATCTTTTGTTTGTTGATTATTGTTAAAGACCTGTTGTTCTTCCAGGCAAAAGCAAGCCCTTCTTTAGGCAGAAACCAATTTGTCATGGTCATAACACAATTACATAAGTAATTTTTTGTCTGTTTTTGCTGTTTTGAGAAGACTTAAAAAGACAGTGCTTGCCTCTGTCACAGTATGGCTGGAGCAAAAGTGAAAAAGTATCAATATTTGGTTTTTCAACACGCGAAGCAAAGTCGTGCTATATTGAGAATGCTAAACTTAATGAGGGGCATAAACAAAAAACTTCAAATATATGTGTGCGTGCCTGGTGAAAGGGACCAGAAGACGCATTTGCTCGAATCAAGATATCAGGCTTCAAAAGTCAAAAATAGAATTTTTGACAAAAACTAAGTTCCATTAAAAATGGATTCTTTAACCATTAATATATCAATATTTACAAGGACTTGAGTTTCTTTTACTTTAAAATACATTTTTAAATATGTTTTTTAGCTCGACGTATATTACATAATCCCCAGAAATGCGTTAGAAAATTGGTTTTACAAGTACACACTGCGGATGATTTCTCTTGTCCATTCATAAAGTTGACCAAATCCCATTGCGTATCAAAATTTAGGTAATTCTCTCCCCTCTCTAGTGGCGGGTAGTGTGCATGAATATCGAGAACATGCAAACAAAACGAAGCTTTGTGCATCCATACCCTTTCGCCTTTTTGGAGAGCAAACTTGTATCGCATTTTTTTGCTCTGCGCAAACCTAGATCTATGAGGGCTGTCCCACGGAAAACCGGAATTTGGCTGTAATTTGAAAACTATTCAATATTTTCACATTCTGTAAACGCACACTTGTAAAACAATCATTTAGAAATTTCCCGATTGAGCACCATGAGCATCGCACAAACCAAACGAGCACAGCAGTTCTCAAAAGATGGCTACCCCTTGGAAAATTGGTCAAGGGTAGAAGTGAGGTCTGTCATTCGGTTTCTGACCGCAAAAGGTCTCAAACCTCAAGAAATACACACTGAAATAAAGTCAGTTTATGGGGAGAAAGTAATGGCAAAGTCACAGGTATATGAGTGATGTAGTAAGTTCAAAGCCGGGCACTCCGATATCGATGACAAAGTTTACCCAGGATCTTGTTTTTCTGCCAAGACTGAGGACAACAAGAGTCACGTTAACGAACTTATTCAAACAGACAGGCGCCTAAAAATTCGTGAAATTTGTGAGTCGCTAAACATTTCAAAGTCGACAGTCTATAGGATAGAGTTTGATGAGCTGCACTATTGAAAGGTCTCTGCTTGATGGGTTGGGGCCGAAAAAGACCAGCGGGTCATTTTGCAGCATGGCAACACAACGTCACACACCGCAAACATCACGAAAGACTGGTTCCAAAGGTTCGGCTAGGAAGTTCTACTGCACCCCCCTCACAGTCCTGACTTGGCCCTGTCAGATTATCACCTTTTTGAACCAATGAAACGCCATATTTCTGGACAGCGATTCACCGACGACGAAGACCTCATGGAAGCCGTGATAGATTGGTTGAAATCCCTTGACGAAAGATTCTTCAGGGAGGGTATCTTCTCCCAGATCCAGCAATGGGAAAAATGTGTCCAGCGGGATAGTGATTACATTGAGAAATAAAGCACATGTTGAGGTATGATGTGTTACAGTTTTATTATAATAGGACAAAGATTTTTGCTTTTACGGACCTTTTCCGGTTTTCCGTGGGACAGCCCTCGTATTTCTTGAAAACTCTTGCTCTAGGTGGTGGTGAATTTGTTTTAAAGACGTAATATAAATCTTTGAAGCTGTTCTTTTATCTTAAGTGCTTTTTAAAGTTGGTTAGTGAGTAGCGAATGTGTTGTCAGGTCGTCTCGTTTAAAGACGTTTTTCTCAAAACTTTGTTTCTTTACCCTGCCGTACAAAATCGCCCATATCTCAAAAACTACAGAAGATATTTTTAAAATTCAAAAAGCACATTGTTCAGAAATGATTTCTGTACACGAAAATACAAAAAAACCCGGGATTCTTCCAAATGTGCCATCTGGTCCCTATCACCAGGGATGCTTACATATGTCATAGCCAATGTTCAATAGCCCTGACAGTTTTTTTTTCTCTATCTAGATGTGCTGTTACAAGATACATTACCCTGACTTAGCAGACCACATAGAGGACGATGGGGTCAGTGTAAACTACACAAGCTACTTCAATGCCTGGTGGGACGCCTATCAGAGCGCCTCTTTTGTGAAGTACAAGTAAGTACAACATCGCAGGCACCAGGGACTCCATTGCTGCCAAACAGTACCTAAAAATGTATTTAACTCTTAAATCTCTGAGGGGGGTAAACCCACTATGCCAGGGCCCTCTTTTAGTACAAAATCTAAAAAATGACATATATTTCACTAAATTGGTCATGAAATCAAAACAGCCAATGAATGAACTCCCACCAAAAGAGACATGTTTTTTGGAAATTACCGAAAAGTTATTCGAAATGGAAGTCATTATAAACGAATGAGCCCGAGCCACTGCCAGCAGCTCACAGGCATAGTGGTTCCGACCGCGGCCACTGAGAGTGGCTTGCCGGAGATAAGGAGTTGATACACTTTTTGGGGTCTGAGGGTGGAAGTCCATTTTTGTGTAGGAAAGTACATTACCTTTTGTGTTTTCTAGTATTGCTCCTCATGGCCTTGTGATGCTGCAGAAGAATTACATACCGGGTAGCCTACTTCCAAGTTCGAATTTGTGAAGAATACTGAGAATGAAGTCCTCAAGTCAATTGGAGAGATCTGTTGCTGCAGGTCTACTTTGAATAGTTTGAGCTTATTGAATGCAGGAAAGTGTGCGTGAAGAGTTGGGAGGGCAAGGGTAGTTGTTAGAATAATGCCCCCATCTTGACCAGCTTTGTGGATAGAACTTTTGGGGGGTTTTGAAAAGGAAGCAAATATAAGACTCTTTCTTTTTTTCTTTATCTAGTTTCTATAAATGGTTTGATTCTACTGTCTAACTGTGTCTAGTTTGTCAAATTTTATCATTCTTTTGTTATATATTTTTACCCAGTGTACCTGTACTTAGTTCAATATCCTTTCATTCTTTTTATCTTTGCTTATCTGTGTATTTTTTTATTTAGCTGTCAAGTTAGTTGCTTTTTTTAAAGTTTGTTTTTTGTTGGGTTTTTTTGGGGGTTTTTAAAATTTAATTTTTTCTCTTTTTTTTGAGTGGAGAAAGGGGGAAGAGAGCAGGACCATCTGCATATTAAAGGTCCATCCCACTTATGAAATTATGGGTGGTTGGTGGGATCTCTGGTATGGTTTGCTCCTTCTTTCCTATCAAGCATCTATTGTCAATATCTCTCATTCTTTATGTTGTATGTAAATTACTCTCTAGAAACATGTCTAATCTTCTGCACTTATATAACCTGTTTGTGTTACAAGTGCCATAAAACTCTAATTAAAACTAAAGAGTGTTATGAAATAGCTGACATTATTGCTACCCTAGATATGCAAAATTCTATCTACTCAATACCTAATTTTGAGAAATTTGACATGAACATTTTTTAGTTTCATATCATGTCAAATATCTTGATAACGACTGAATAATCTTACAATTTTGATAGAGCTGATAGAGCGTTTTGTTTCTCACCTCGTGGTCTTAATATCGCAAAACAGAAAAAAAATGTCACATAGAATTTTGTGAGTCTGAGGAAGCATTGTCATTTACTTTATGCACAAGCAGATGTATGGACTGTCTTCCCTCCTTCTTGCAGTGTTGGTGGTCAAGTTGTTTCAGAGTTCGCAACCGAAAGGTCGTGGTTTTCTACCCTATCAGGGATGTGATGCTGTACTGTCTATTGGACGAATTTTCTTCACTTCACCCCATTGTGAATGGGTACCTGACAATAGACAGCAGAAACTCTTGTCAGTTTGTTAGTATCTGAGTGCTTAATCAGCTGCGTGCCGCGTAGGCCGCCCAGGAATCTGAGAATGTTTCTGAGAGTTCATTGGTCTGCTAGGGTAATAATATAGATTTTAATGCAAATAAAGCTTGCTGCTGAGTAGGAGTATGTGCTATGCAAATGCTGTTTATTAATATTGTGTTATTATTATTTCTATTATTATTATTATATTATTATTATTATTATTATTATTATTATTATTATTATCATTATTATTATTATTATTATTATTATTTCCATACTCACACAACTTTACCTAGAGCTCCGCCCTGGAAATGACATGTTTGTAGAGAGTTATATTTCAAAACACACCAAAAATAAATTACTTGCACGTTCCAGCGACCCTGATGCGGGTCACGTCCTGTTGCATGACCCCTGGTCATGGTTTGATGATTCCCGTGAGTTCCGTCAGCAGGATATGCTTCCTCACAAGTGGTGCTGCCGAGATGCCAAAAAGCGCGTCAAGTCATGTGCTCTTTTCAACAAAGTCCGACCTCAAGAACAATGCAATCCTAATGCCACCTTTGTTTCAGGTACAAAAGAGAGAGAGAGAGAGAGAGAGAGAGAGAGAGAGAGAGAGAGAGAGAGAGAGGGAGGAGGGGGAGAGAGAGTGAAAAAGGGAGAGAGGGACAGACATACAAACAGACAGACAGATAAAGGAGGGAGAGAGAAATGGGGGAGGGAGGAAGAGATAGAGAGAGAGAATTGAGAGAAGAAAAGGGGGAGAGTATTTGAGAAAGGAAAAGACAAACACTGAAAGAAAAAATGCAGGTTGAGAAAAGACAGAGAAGGAAGAGAGAATGAAAGCATGAGAGAAAAAGAAGGAATTATCCCCCCCCCCCCCTCTTTTTTACCTGTGACCTTTTTGTGCTGTCCAGGTCTTGCACTGGGTGACCCACACATTAAGATGTCAGACGGCATTGAATACACCATGAACGGCCTTGGAGAATACATTCTACTAAAGGTAACTGGCAGTGGGAAGGTCATCAGGATAGCTAGGGCAGGGTTTTAAGACATAGTATTATTGAGAAATTATTTATTTACTTTTTTTCTGGCCTCCATTTCATTTCAGAAACAAATGTCATACTTTTGTTTGTTGTATTGTCTGTTGCATGGTTATATCATTTTTATCTAATATTTCTCTGACCCCTTATATCCATCTTTTCCTGTATCTGCCTCTTCTTCTGCACCCATCTGATCTCTGGTTGTATGCTCTCATTGTTACACTATCTGATGTTAGTCTTGACAAGAAGTGTAATCATTTCCGTATGAAGGGCCTCAGGAAAATTCCTGGCATCAAATGGCGAGATAAAATTTCAGACACTGAAGTTCTCAAACAGGCCAATACCAAGAGTCTATTTTCTACTCTCAAAAGGACTCGATATCGTTGGGCTGGCCTTATTGTAAAGATGCCTGATTTCAGAATTTCAAAGGTAGTATTCTGTTCTGAACTGCCCTCAGGGAGGCGTAGGGTGACGCACCAAAAAACACTGCAAAGAAACCCTGAAAATGTATCTGAAGAACAAAATAAATCTATCGACAGACCCAGTTCGAAAGCAGCAGTCACGGTGGGCAGCAAGTCATATGGGGTTTCATGTCTAAGACATGCTGAAACCAAGGGAGAAGCCCACGAGCTGAGCACATCCACAAGTGAAAGTGGAGTGTTTGAATACTCAAAATGTGACAAAATTTTGTCCGCCAGAATTGGTCTCCTGGGCCACAGCAGAAGGAGAAGCCACAAGTCATTTTAAACTTTAATTCTTCTAATTCTTCTATCTTGCTTAAGAAATATTCTTCTCAGCAGTCATCATTTGACATTGATTGACGAGCTATCATTTTTAGTAATTAGGTGTCCGAACAATTTTATGTGTTGCTTTTCTATGTACTCCAAGCAGGGAGTAGAATCAACTTGTTCTCTGACTATCTAATTTCTCACCCTGTCTCTTCTTGTGATGCTCAAAGGTTTTCTTGAACTTCTCATTTCACAGGCATTTATTTTACTTTGGTGAGTCTTGTTTATTATCGTTTGAGCTTGGCAGCACAGTGCTGGTATAAAAATACTGTTATTCAGTTGGTGCTCTGTTTCTGTTGTTATGTTTGGATGTGAAAGTAAGAGTGCCAGTTGGTAAGACAAAGCATTGGCCTGTTTTATTCTGGTTTTATTTCTCTGTCTATCTTTTCGTCTTGGGTGAACATGCTTCCTGGGCATTTGAACTCTACTACTCACTTGATTTTGCTTTTGTCGTCTATGATACTTTGTGGGTTTGGTGTTTTGCTAATTTTTATCACATCAGTTTTCCTTGTGCTGAATAATTATCATGTTGTGGTCTTTGCAGCTTTTGTTCCACTCAGCTTTTTAAATGTTCTTGGAGGGTCTTTTCATTCTCACAGCATGCTCTGATCGTCAACAAAAAGAAGCATCTTGTTTAGTTTGTGCGACTATTTTGATACACATTATTGTCGTACTCATGGTCTTACTTGGAACCATTATGTTTTCAATGTTGTGTTCTTACTGTTGTTTTGTTGTTTTCATATAATGCCTTTTTGTTGTCCAGTAGCTGTCCACTGATTCTGGCTTTTTCCAGTACTGTCCACAATTTGTCTCGGTCGACTCTATTGAAGGCCTTTTCTTGGTCCAAAAAGACTGTTAAGTTCTTGATCATCTTGATCATTGTTGAGATCTTTACCCCATGTTTCAAAATGAGTTGTTAAAAGCAAAATGAGTTGGGTTGTTTTTTTTGGGGGGGGGGGGGAAGGGTAGTGGCAAATACGCGAAATAGATTATAGATATGATTTTTTCTTAGAATTCAAATTTGGATGGTTAGCTGGTGCTCTGGTGTGGTTGGCTCCTTCATTCTTATCAAACATCTATCGTCCTTATCCCTCCTCCTCCTTTTATGTGTTTTCACTCTCTTGTAATATCTCTAATCTTCAGCACTTATATGACCCAACTGTATTGCAAATGCCATAAGACGCTTACTAAGACAAAAAAATTAGAAGTCAAAAGAAGTTATGGCATCATAGAGTTGCATATGGTTGACGGGGGCTATTGGGTGGTTTGCCCTTTCTTTCCTTTCCAACATTAGCTTATACTAAACAAGAGTTTCTGAACATTTTTTTGGGAGAATTTCTCCTTTCAGCTCCTTTCCTGCTGTCTAACCATGTTCTGTCATTTGTTTTTGTCTCCACTTTGCCCCCTTTTCTGGTTTCCTGATTCTTCCTACTGCCTTTTCACTGCTACTCCTTGGCTCCTTCTTACTACTGTATTTCAACCACGCCCAGGATCTTAGGTAGGTAATATTTAATGCCTAACCTCGGAGGTCCTGTGTGCAGGTTGCGCACAGTACAGATCCCTTGGTGATTTTAAAATCGATGAGGGTAGGCTTTGACCATCACCTGAGCAAAGTTCAAAATTAATTCTTACCAAACTGAAAATGCTTAATGAGTAACCCATGCTCATAGACCTCATGCTTTTACAAACACCGTAAAACACTTACCAAATTTTTTTTTAAAGGAAATGTATCAAAAAAATGATTGATATGTGTGCTACAGGTTTCGTCTGAGGACTTCTATCTGCAAGGGCGGACAGCTCAGGCCCTCAACAAAGACAAGAAAGAGACTCGGGCAACAGTGTTTGTGGCATTTGCTGTCAAAGAAATGGATGCGACCTTCCAGGTGGAACTCAATGATACCATGGATGGTGAGTGGTATTCACATATCAGGGTCATGGCCCAGCCACTGAGAGAGGGAGGCAGAAATTGAAAGGAATAGAGAGGGAATTTAAGAAAAATGGATAAGATAGGGAAGGAACTATGTTGTGTGACCATATTCGTATGTGTTTATGCAATGCTGTGTGTTTATGATTATGTATTTTATTGCAAAGAGCCGTAAAAATGTATAATCTTTTTTTCTTCTAAAGCATATGATGAATATCTTTCTCTCTCGTTTCTCACTTAGTCATCTTTTTCTCTGTTATGTCATTTTATATTGTATATTATCTTATATGTAAAATTCATGCTCTCAATGAAATTTGTAAAGAAGAGAAGTACTTTGGAGGTATAAGTTATTAAAGTTAATTGACAAATACAAGTTGGAAGAAAGGTTTGAATTTGAAATGTGGCACAACTAAAAAAAGTACTGTTTGTTGCAATAGAAAATTAGGAAGGTATAATTCAGGAACTCTCTTGGGAAGCAACCCTTGGTTGCTGTTAGGCTGAGGTTGCTGCTATCTGAAATTTAATCCACCTACCTCCTTCATACACAAACACACACACACACACATATGTACACACATGTATACACACACACAAAAAAAACCCACACACTGGTGGACACTCACTAGTTATATTCACGGGATGTGGTGATGCTTGTTATGCTGGAAAGTGACAAAATGGGCAGCATCAGCTTTCAAATTTAACTGAGCTGAGGTTTAATGGCAGATCATTACTTTTATACACAGTGACAGAGACTTTTATACCCGCACCCGCTCTCCCCACCCCCTATTCAGGGGACTTCAAGAAAGGCGGCTCTTAGTGAGAGGGTGTGAACTGATATTCCATATTCAGCATAGTGTATTTTTTTTTGCTCAAGTTGGTGTTGTTAGGAGATAAACAAGAGAGGAGGGATGCACACACATTGAAATTGTACACCGTTCTTATTCACACCTTTTTTTCTCACAAAAATATTTCGTCAGACAATCTATAGCAACAACATTTTTAACATTTGTTTTACTTTTGTACCATAATAAGACTGGCTGATTTACAACCTCCATGTCGCTTTTTCCTTGAGTTGTATAATCACCATTGTGTTTCAGAGATTCTGTCCTACTCAGATATATATAAAGGTGTTTGAGTTCTCAAAAGTGAAAGATATAGCACATTATAATGAAACAATCAAAAACAAATACATCGAGAAAAAAACTATTTACCTTTTCAACTTCCATAGAGAGAAAGCGCATCTTTAGTGCAGTTGTAAGTTAAAGCTGACTCACAAAGAAACTTTAAGCATTTAACCTCAGTGGGTTTAAGCTGGAGAGTCTTGGGGGCATGTCTTGGGGAAAAAAAACATAAACCCAAGCTGAAAAACAGGTGTACTACTGTTTGAAAATGTGACTTTTCTATGTATTCTTGTCATATCAATTTGCCAGTCTTTTACTCAAGGACTAAGAAATTCATGACTAACTATATAATTAAAGTACCTCTTTCTTTGGCTTCAGGTACAAATGTATTTTTTTTTCTCATTGTTTAAGGCATGATTATCAGAGCCAATGGAGATGAGCTGACTACAGACTTCTACAGTGATGAGAAATACATGATCACAAGCCATGAGACAGTGGGTGTGGAGAGAAAGAAGAGGGACTCGGATGGACGGATTTCAGTCACTGCCACCTTCCCATCTAGTGAGTCTTTACAGTTTCTGTCTGTCTGTCTGTCTGTTTGTCAGTCTACCCGTCTGTCTGTCTGTCTGCCCCTCTGTCTGTCTGTCTGTCTGTCTGTCTCTCTCTTTCTCTCTCTCTCTCTATTTCTCTCTCTCTCTCTCTCTCTGTCTCTCTTTCTATGTGAATGTGAGTAAAAGATAATGTTTCCTTTCGCCCTTTCATCTCTCCATTGGTTCATCTGTGTTGAGGATGCGAGTTCAAAAATAATGCTCCACTACGTATAGGCCTACAGCTTTGTTTACAAACAAATTTGCATCTTACTTCGCTATAATCTCAGCAATAAAACATTTGAGTAATATTGCCAGATTGTGATATTTTTGTTGTAATAACAATTTTTGAGTCTCTGAACAAATTGAAATTTGAACTTGTGTGCCACATATTGTTTATGCTTGTTATTGAAGATTGTAAACTGTTCCTAAATTCAAATGTCAAATTATGTCATTATTTCTTTCAAATACCAGAGAATTGTGACAGAAATTATCTTGCATATACTCATATTTTTTTAGATGAGATTTTCTTGAAGGTTTGCAGATTTTGACATTCCAGTAGCTATTATCCCAATGTTTGTTTGTACAGATGTCCTTTTATCAAGTTGCCTTTATTGCAGCGATTTCTGTCACGGTTTACGTTGGCATCCGGAACCTGGAGTTTTCCATTGACCTGCCCGCTGAGCTCAGAGGCAAAGCGTCTGGCCTGCTGGGCAATTTTGATGGCAAGAGTGACAACGACTTCATTCTGCCAGATGGTTCGGAGCTCCCAGCATCCTCTGTGGACACGGAAAGGGAAATACTAGAAAACTTTGCTGAGCCTTGTGAGTGGATGTTTAGGTTGTTTAGATGTAGAACAGTAACTGTTTAGACAGTTTTCCCTACATGGTGAAGTCTGTGACAGTAATCATAGTAGTTAACTGTACTTGTTTTTTGTTTTTTTGTTGGTGTTTTTGTTATCAATTCAGAAACAAGTTTTTTGCACTTGGGTCCAGTGCCATGTTGTGACAGATATTTTTAAGTCTGTTGTAGCTGTCTATTGGTCCCATATAGGGTGGTGTTCCCTTGCTTATATGCACAGATGTCCTTTTATCAAGCCATGCTATGGAGAAGTCATTTGTCTTGTCTGTTTGGGGGTGTCTGCACAGCTGGCAAGTTGATTCGTGTCAATTCTGTTCCTATGTTATTGTTTTTGCACTTTTAGGCTTTTATTGAAGATAGTGTATGTGGTGTAAATTTACAGTAGAAATGCTAAGCAGTAAAAATAGATGAAAAATGAACTAAACTCCCTTTAAGGAGCACTGCCAGCATCTGACGACCTGGCTGTGTAGTGTTTTTCACACCCATTAACTTGTGTCAAGGGCTCTAAGGTAAACACAGCCAAATGTTGTTGCAGACCCCATCAATCCAGCTATATTTGGAAATATGTCAGCTGACTTTGAGGTTACTCTTTGTTTTTAGGAAAAGTGACAGCTATCAATTTCTGTCATTAGTAGATCACTCAATTTAAAATGATTTCAAATAATTGTGAGGCATGCTGACAAAATGAGTAACTTCTCAAAATCCAAAAATGGAAATATCAGTTGAAAACCGACTCTGGGGTCAGAATTATAGATTTTTAATTGATGCCATTTTCTTCAAGTCTGCATAGCTTTTATTGTTTCGTACTTACAAATTGTACAAACTCTACCTATCAAGATGGTGTATCTGATTCCTGTATCAATTTCCATAAGGCTGAAATCTGAGAAGTAAGTCATTTTGATACATTGTATTCCAGGGAGAGTGACCACGAGCAACTCAGTTTTCTCCTATGATGACAACAAGACTACTCTGAATTACCAGAACTACACATTCACCCCGATATTCTTAGACGACGTGAATGCCAGTGTTTTGCTAGATGCTCAGAACCAGTGCAGTGGTGACTATGCCTGTGTTTTTGACTTGATCGCCACAGAAGACGAGAGTTTTGCCAAGTACTCACTGGCCAGCAACAAGGAAGCCAATACTGTTCAGAGCAGTCAAGGTTAGTGGAGGGAATGTGTAACTCACAAAAAGTTGGTGCCTAACAACAAGCTTGCTTTAATCATACGGTACACAAATGTCTATCCTCCTGGAGGTAATTTTTTCCGCCAGTAGGCACCTCTATAGTACAAAGGCCTATATTTAGTGTTGTTTTCTGATGTACCTATTTGTTTTGCAAAGTATAGCATAGTATATATATCAAAAGAAAGGATGCACAAATACACATTCCCGGAGCATGCATAAAAACATAGACAGGCAGGAGTATACATGCATGTACTCACACACACACACACACACACACACACACACACACATACACACACACTCACACACACACACATACACAAACACACTCACACACACACACACTCTCAAACACACACACACACACACACACATATATACACCCACATGCATGCATGTGCACATACACACACATACTCACACATGTACACACACATACACACACACCACACACGCACTCTAACACACACACACATACACAAACACACACACACACACTCAGACAAACACAAACATACACACACACTCACATAAAACACACATGTGCACAGACGGGGGGAGCACATGACGTGTATATATATATATGAATATGTATACTACTCTTATCGATTTTAGACCACCAAGGGATCTTTAACGTGCGCAACTTGCACACGGGCCCTCCGAGATTTTTCGCCCTTGTCAGAGAAGGCTAGGTGTAGATCTTTCCTACCAGAAGATCAGGGGTGTGGCAGAAAGACAGCAGTTAGGAGGAGCCAAGGAGTAGCAGTAGAAAGGCTGCAGAAAGAGTCAGGAGCCCAGAGGAGGGGGCAAAGGAGGTGAGGGGGTGGGGGCAGAAAGTGGAAATGAAAGCAGACAACAGAACATTGTTAGAGATCAGGAAAGGATGTGAAAGGAGACAATTTTAGAGAAGAAAATTTTTTGGTCGCTACCCGGAATCGAACCCGGGACCTTTGAATGAGAGGCCAACACCTTAACCTCTAGGCCACGAGAGCCCCCATTACCCCATATATATGTGTATATATATATATATATATATATATATATATATATATATATATATATATATATATATATATATATACACACACAAACACGCACTCTCATGTTCACGATCAGGGTTACTGTATGCATAAAGAAGAGACATCCTGACTTTGTTTTCAGCCAACTCCCCTCCTTCCATCACTCTGCTGATGGCCACCAATGCTGAGGGTCACGTGGAAGTGACCGAAGGCACCCCAGTGACCCTCACCTTCCAGGCCACTGACCCAGATGGAGACAATGTCACCTACACATTGGTTAGTGGATCACAAAGCGGCGTCCAGTTTGATGCCAGTTCTGGCAGTGTGACACTGACACCAGACACTGACACACCTGTGGCCATTGGGTAAGTACTGACCCACTAATGGTAGTGTTAATGGTGGTATGGTCAGATGAGAAGTGATACACTAACAATGTTCACATATTAAAGATGCTTACATTGTCCTTTCTAGTTTCCACAACTTGAAAAATAAATGTATGTGTCACGACGTGGTGGAATCAGGCGCTCGTCAATTTTGGTGCATGGGGAGTGGTTGGTATCATCTTAAAGCTTGTTCATTTATCTTGCTTTAGATGAAAAAATTACCCATTTATCTTGTGCAGAAGTGAAGATATTTGTGATTGAAAGAGATAAGTTCACTTGGTTTCAGCGGTAAAAATGACGAGAAAATGGCCGCCAAAGTTTGGTAATTTCAATAGATGAAGAGTCCTTGAAAACTGAAAAATGACATACTTTGTTGAGCTTTTAATCAACGTTTTTCATTATAATTCACATGGATACATGTTTTTATTTGGACATAAAAGGGTTGAACAAAAACCCAAAAATTTGATTAAAATTGCGAAACTGGTGAGAAAATGCCTATTTCCCCAATTTGTTTATTTTGACGAGCGCCTGATTTCACCACAATGCCTCACATATATAGCTTTTTATACTTGTACACACTCATGCAAACCCCCCCCCCCCTATCCCCACCCTTATGCCCATATACACACATTTATACAAACATTAGTTCTCTTGATGGTATTAGTAGGTTTGAGGGACCAACTCATGCGTATAAAGTTTATTCACTTTGAGTTATTTACCATGAGAATTGTTTCTAGATGAAGAGTAAAATAATCAATATGCTCAGTTTGTTGAAATCTAATTATCATCAGAGTGGTGAAATCAGGCGCTCATCAAAATGATGAAATCAAAGACACCGACATTTTTCTGTCTTGTGGCAAGTTTTTTTCAATTTTTTTTTTTAGCTCAACACTTTGTATGTCCATTTATAAACATGTTTTGGTGTGGTTGTTACTTAAAAATGTTGATCATATTTGCAGTTTTCATAGACTCTATGTCATTGGAGGTCACAAAGCTTCGGCAGAGATTTTCTCAATAATTTTACAGCTGAAACCAGGCGATTCCTACCTTCTTCAATCACAAATACCTCGACTTCTGTTCAAGATAAACGGGTATCTTTTTCATCAAAAGCAATGCAAATGAATAGGTTTTCTGATTATAACAATAACCGTATATGCCGAAAAATTGACAAGCGCCGGATTTGGCCGCATTGAATCAAAACTGGTTACTGATAAACAGGCATCAAAGATGAAAAAAATTAATGAAAATGGCTAGCGCTATAATAACAATTCTGGAAAACAAATCAGGTGTTTACTCAGCTTCACATTAAAATATTGGTGACAATGCACTACCTCAGAATTACAAAATTCTATTTGATACTTTTGGTCATTTTGAGATGTTCCATCTGCTCTATTAAAATTGTACTATTATTCAGAGTCGTTATCAAGATATTCAAAGAATTGCATTCAAAAACGCTTAACATGTTGTGAAACTGAACATTTTTATCATCGAATTTCTCAAAACTAGATTCTGAGCAGATAGAACTTTTTACTTCTAGGGTAGTGAATGGTTATCGCCGTTATACAAATTCTGAAAAATATCACTGGCATTTACCCAGCTTATCATAATTCATGTCTTCGTTTCACACATCAGCGTTCAGGCCAAGGACAGCAAAGGAGCAAGCTCTGTGGCTGAGTATGTGGTCCTGGCTGTGTGTCCCTTGTGCAATGGTCAAGGGTCATGTGACCGGTCAGACACCAGAGAGGAGGAGCTAGCTGGGGGGAGGTTCTTGCTCAACGACTGCATCTGCAAGCCAGCCTATAAAGGTGCTTTTGTTTTTCTATGTTTCCTGTTAGTCGGTCTGTATCAATTTGTCTTCTGTTTTAAGTGCCTTTTGTTTATCTGTCCCACCATCTAATTTTTTTTCATGTCCCTCTGTTTGTCTGTCTGTCTGTCTGTCTGTCTGTCTGTCTGTCTGCCTATATATTTATCCACTGATGGACTTGTTTTTCAATCCTCACTCCAGTTTTGCTGTCCGTCTTTCAAGCCATCCATTTTTTTGGTCTCTCTTTCTGTCTGTCTGTCTGTCCATCTGTCTGTCTATCCGTCTGTCTGTCCATCTGTCCATCTGTCTCTGTCTGTCTGTCTGTCTGTCTGTCTGTCTGTCTGTCTGTCTGTTCAATCTATTATGTATTTCTATTGGAATATTTGTATGTCTGTCCATCATTTCTGTTGTCGGTTCTTCAGCCTGTCTTATCATTCTTTGTTTGTATGTCTATTTATCTGTCTGTCTGCCTATATACCAGTTTAACAACCTTTCTATCTACCTGCTGTCTGTTTAACTAGGTTCTTAGATTCCTATGGTCTTGGCTCTCTATCAGGTTGCAATTCCAAGAAGATTTGTCTATCTGTAGCGATGGATGTGTGTATGTGTGTGTGTGTGTGTATTTTGACCAGGTGACGACTGTGAGGAACTTGTAGATGGCTGTGCAAGTAAACCTTGTACTACTGGACAAGATTGCACCAACCTGGCCCCTAATGAAGACGAAGACAATGAGAGACGGTATCGGTGTGGGGCTTGTCCAGAGGGATATGTTGGTGATGCTGGCAATGTTGTGTGTGCTGGTGAGTTTTGTGTGTGCTGGTGAGATTTGTGTTGTCTGTGTCTGCGTGCACATGTGTGTGTGTCTGTGTGTGTGTGTTTATATGTGTGTGTGTGTGTGTGTGTTTGTGTGCTGTTGAGGTTTGTGTCTTTATATGAGTGTGTGTGTGTGTGTGTATGTGTGTGTGTGTGTGTGTGTGTGTGTGTGTGTGTGTGTGTGTGAGAGAATCTGTTTGGGAATTGTTAGCTCAGACTGGCAATGCTATGTGAATAGATGATTTGTATTGGTGAGTATGTGTGTGTGTGTGTGTGTGTGTTTGTCTGTGTGTGTGTGTGCGTGTATGTGTGTTGGGTCTATAGGTTTGTCTAATAGAATTATAAAGTTACATATCTCCCCCCCCCACCACCCACCCCCCCCATTCCCAATCCACCTATAACCAGATATCAATGAGTGTGCCAACACAACGCACCCTGCGTGTCCAGCTCTCTCCCGCTGTGTCAACTCAGTGGGATCCTTCTCCTGTGTGTGTCTACAAGGCTTCAGACAAGATGCGGGCAACATCTTTAAGTGCAATGGTCAGTTGTTCTGTGTCCACTCTCCTTCACTAGCAATAGTAAAAGTATTGGCGTTATCATCTTCTTTATTGGCAGAAAAACTATAAGATTAAAAATAAAAGTCTTGACTGATGGATAGCTGTCATTTTTACAAAGGAATGTATGCAGTCTTCATCCTCATCATTCTTGTGATCATTTTCATCACCATTAGCATACTTAAGCAGCCATTCGTATGTCTCATTATTATTCTTTTTGTCATCATCATTGTCTTGTAGTAAAAGTGAATAAAAGTACACGCCTTTTCAGAAAAAATCTAACGCACACTCCATATAATTTCTTGTACAATATTTCCTCCTGTACTGTCCCATAAGCCTTCATTGAGAGCACATATTGTCTTCAATATCATCAATAGCAGAACTGGCTTCATCAGCATCATCATTGTTACTATCATCCTCTTTTTTATTATTACCATTGTCATTGTCATCATCTAAAGTCACTTCCTTCTGAGTTCATCTGAAGGACTCTCCTTTCTTGGGATTGATGTAAACTTGATTGGTTACCTTTTTTTTTTTTAATCTGACGGTACTGAACATCATGGCTTGTAGATTTTTCACAGAGTAGGGTCAGTACATGTTTACTCATTTGTGAGGCAGCGTGGTGAAATCAGGCGCTTGTCAAAAAACAGAAATTGGAGAAACAGGCATTTTTCCGCCAGTTTGGACGTTTTTATTGAATTTTTATTTTTGGGTTTATGTCCACATAAAAACACGTTTCCATGTGAATTTTACTGAAAAACATTGTGGTATGTCAGCACAAAATATTTTTCTTTTTTCAAGGACCCTTTAGCTATTGGAGTTACCAAACTTTGGTAGCCATTTTCTTGCTAATTTCACCACTAAAAAGCTGATGGCTTCACTACATTCAATCACAAATATCTTGAGCTTTGTTCAAGGTAGATGGATATATATTTCAATGGAATCTAGGCAAATAAATCCGGTTTCAGATGATACCAACTCCACATGTCAAAAATTTGACAAGTGTCTGATTCCACCAGGTCGTGACACATTTGTGTATGATTTTCTTGCCCTTTTGATCTCAAATATATCTCTCTAACAAATGAACTTTATTGGTGCTCCTTTAGAGGAAAAATGACTGAATGCTTCATTCAACTTCTGTCATATAATGACAAGAACATTCATGTGCACGCGCGCGTGTTCCCACACACGTACGCACGCACACACACACACACACACACACACACACACACAAA